CAGGGACATAGGTTACACATCCACACCGAGGTGTATTATCCTGTGTGTGCTTGTGAGAGCAGATGCTACAGCAGTATTTGCTGTTTTACTAGTTGTACTATGGCGATTTTTTGAAAGTACCTTGTGTTGTGGACTGGAGCTTAAAAAGTTCTCCACATTGGAGGAATCTTAATTGTTTGCTTCCTTTATAGTTCTCGAAATCACTTCCCCTAAAGGAGGAGAAGCATTGGAGGGATGAGATTTGATGACCCAATTAAGGCGACTTTTGAGTGCGTCGAGTAGATTTTTATTCATGGTTATTATAAAATTTCGCCCTAATCCCCTCCTAACATATCAGAATAAAATGTTTGCAGAAGATAGCCAGATTCTCTTTGAGTTTTAGTTTTATAAGGACGCTGCTGCTTTATGAGAACGCAAATTTTCTGTACTAATTTTAGTTCCTGATCATATGAGTAGTCTTGTTCACTCCTTGTCATCGAGCCAGTATTCTCTCTCTGGACCGTTTCCTACAATAAATATTAAGGCACAGAAAGCACGGGTTCTTATATTTGAAATTTTCCGCCATCCTTCTTGATAGCACCGCAGAAATTCTTATTCCTTTCCACCTTCTGCATCATGATCAGTTTCTTTCAAATACGTCCTTTGAAGTTATTGGTCTTAGTGTAATTGTGGGAAATTACAGACTGAGGTCTACGGTTCAAGATAGCCTTGCAAGTTTGTAGTCGAGATCTATGGAAATTTGACTTTTCTTGAGAATGCATCTTCATTATTCCGAAATAGCAATGACTTAATCAGTTGCTAAAGCTGACCTACCGTCCCCAATGCTCTCTGCTTCTACTCTCCTATCTAAGCTGGAAAATAGCAGGTCTTTAGCCGGTTTGAGCTACTAACCGGCCTATTTCGTTATGGCCTGCTGATAGAGGTGAAATATATGCTCCTAAGTGATGCCATCATTCTTATCAATTGTTTACCCTTAAATGTGCCTATCAATGCAATTTCTTCTCCCCTCCCCCCCCCCCCCCTAAGAATGTACCCAAGCATTATTGACCTTGACGCTGTCACCTCAAAGACAAGCCTTTGCTATCAAGCTGAGTGTTTTTGGGCTTTACACCATTCGTTTTTGTTAATTCATTGCAAATACTAGTCCACAGTGTCAAGTTGCTTTCGTATATTAATACCTCTGACAGCAATTCCTTAATTACCTTCATTTAATATCTACCTTTATTTCATCTCTTTCAGTTTGGAGTTGATGTGAGTGCGCACAATGGAAATTGAGGTCGTATCAAAATGCCAAAGTCACTGTGTATCTCCCTCCCTCTTTTTCCTATTTTTCAATCCTTTTTTCCTTCAAGTACTGTGTATATTAGTTGGGATTTGATAAGTCAGTTTGATCATTTTTCTTTCTAATTCCTTTCTTTTGTATATATATATGAAAGAAAATTGCTACGCTTTCTATTAATACTAATCTTTTGGATTATTCCTGTTTTAATATCTCTTTGTGCGCTTTCGAACATACATATATAAAAAAGAGATTGTTATACTGAGTTCTTTACACTTATTCTTGGCGTTTTGAGTGTAGATTTACTATGATCTTTTATATAAGAGTATACTAAACCGTTGCATGTGGATTGAGCGGAGCTATGCACTTAAATCACAAATTGTGAAGTAAAGCGCTTTAGGGTGATCGGTTTTGTGTGACGAATTATTAGTTTTTCGTCTTCATATATGTTAGAACAGTTTCTATTTTGAATCGATTGAATGCTTGATTTTAAGCGGCCGTGTATTTGGCATTTGTTTCCTCTGTGTGCGTGGTTTTGAGTTAAAGATTCTTGTTTCGGTTTCTGTTTAAAAACAACTACACCAAAGGCTCATACTCCTTTTCTCATCCTTAATCAAAACGAATACGAGGTTATATTGATATTAGTTGCAGCTTTCTGGTGAAATCCCTAAGTTGTTAATTGATAAAAAAAAGGACTTAAATGGTTGCCATTTCAACTAATGCTACTGAATTTTGATCCCTCTACCTTTCTGCATTCCACTATTAATGCTTTGAATTGAGCCATTTAAAGCTCTGCATTCACTTTTTTGGTCAGTATTATGTCTGCGAGCTTGGAGTGCGCGATAGACATGCCCCCCAAGTGGTGCAAAAGGCAAAAAGGTCTATAATCCGCCAGTTGCCTTCCAATTACCATGACCCGACTGTATGTCATATTCGTTCACTTTCACAGTACTCACCTTACCTTTTGCTCTACCTTTGTGTCTGTCTCTTACGTGTGTGAATCACTCTTTGTGAATTAGATGTTCCTCTCCTCTGCGGTTAGTGATAATTATCATAAAGCCTGCCATTTGATATGTCTTCTAACTTTACTAATTAGCAAGAAATGATATTATTCTGGAGTTAATCTAAGTGTCAAATCATGTCATTTATGATTTTTAAATATTGCAAGACATGGTGCTGCTAGTAGTCAAGCAACTAACAGAGGCCTTAAAATCGTATATTGAACACTTTAGGTTTAATCCTCTGTCGTCTCATAGCTCCTTCCAGAACTCTTGGAAAACTACTCTAACAGCATACTGTTTAAGCATCAAATGGCACTCTAGATCGGTTAACATTTCCCCGTCTCCGTTTCAGCTCTTTTCTTTTTTTATAAAAAACGATATTTTTCTATTGATTCAGTTACTAAAAGGATAGTTTGCTAATACGAGATTTTACTGTTCCCGCTTCCCGATCAATGATGTTCAGGAGATTAAAAGGATAGGCAACTTTGAGGAATCGGACCAGACGTAGATTGAAACGTTATATTATAAAGTGTTTTAATTTTAGCTCACAGTGCAAATAATTTCGAATAATTAGAGCACGAGCCCATCTGGGGGGTACAGCGCTATCACGGCTAACTAAAGTCACTTCGCGCACGCCTATAACACAGAAACATTCTCAGCTAATCACCAATTCATTTTCTATTAAAGTTGTCTATTGTTGGACCTAATTAGGAATAAACTCTCGTAATCCTCAATACGTTCCGGACTCCGTGATAGTGCTGGCGTAGCTTTTACCTAAATTCGCGAAAGCTTTTATATGCGTGAATTTTTTTTTTAGTGTTTAGTCAATACTTATTTTTTGTAGTATCCACTAGACTCTGGCACCATGAAAAAAGGGTCTGAACAATTCTCTCTTCACAAGCTTTCCCTATTGGGGAATAGATGACGACGCACGAACTGAAGAGGTGGTGGTGGTGTTTGCGTTTCCTCGAATTAGAGGGATCACGTGCATTGTTTGTGTTCGCGTGGGAAAAAAAGTGACAAGAATGATGATAATAGGACTAATTGTCAATTTAAAAGTTGTCATTTTAGAGTCCTGATAGCGTTGCAATGATCGTGAATAAAGGAATACAAATAGATGCAGTTATGTTATCTCAACTCATTTGCATGAAAGTTTTAATAGGTGAATGAGCTGATTATGTATAAAATTATTAAAGGGTTGCTGTTTAAGCGTTTTCGGATTTTGTTGTCATTTGTCAAAACCGAAAACAGTCTCTATTGTCATTCATCATGACTTGGAGTATATTAAGACTTGCAAAGTATTGTGATACCATTTTACTGATGTAATAGCTAATTTCTTTGAATCCTCGAGCGATGGCATCTATTTGTTCGAATTTTTGGAAGATCTTTGAGCGTTAATAAACCTCACTACAAATTTGTGTTATCCGGTTTTAAAACTCCTTTTAAACCGAGAAAAACTTGTTTTTATTATTATCAACGTCACGTTTACCCATATTTATATCTACTTTCGCAGGCTGTTTACCACAAACAGATATTCAGAATTGTTTGAATAATGTTCTCATTTAACTTTCATTGTATGCGAATCTAAGATTGTGGTGTGCAATTATCCGGAAGTTTATTTGGAAAAGCTCAAAATGATTTTCTTGGCAAAAACAGTTATGGTTTGTGCCTAGTTTAGCTGTCTAAGCCACCACTAACACTAATTCGATTCCCACTGTGATCGCTCGATGTACTTACTAGATTAATAGTAAGTTACTTTGGCTCCAGGCCAGTCGACGGATTAAATGAGCGATTTCTCGTAATAAAATGATAATTAAGGAAATTATACTTTCCAAGATAGGTTAAGACATAAGGGGAATGATTTGCTGACATGGTAAACCTAAAGACGAAAAATTCGGTGGACGGTAACGAGGCTGGTAAATTTTCCTCCAATCCCCAAAAATACCGAATTTGGCTTCATAGCTGCCCGAAATTGAGGTTTGGAAATAGTAATGAAAGCTAAGCAACTTTGCGAGGCATAATTAATTGAAAATACAACCTGAGAGTAATCCAATTAGCACTCTTTCCTATTTCATTGAGTTACATGCGAATAAAATAATTATTATACAAATGTGCGCTTATGACTGGTTATAGAAAGCTCTTTGAAAAAGTCATTAAGGTGAATAGTTCAAACATCTCGACCGTGATGTTATCTATTGGGATGAATACTTACAAAAAGTGTGAAACACAGGGCTCAATAACCGCGGAGGTACTCTCCATCAGGCTGATAAGGGCCCTTTGAGCATTGGCCTGCGTCTGTCCATACTGTGCTCAACAAAGCCGAAATTGCAACCCTGTATCAGTGCACTAAGAAGGGACCAATGAGAATAGCCAACGTGGGAAATCGTTGTGACCATTGGCTAAATCATTTTATTTGTTCATCTGCATGTTATTCGATGAGAGAGGACTATGATATTCAGGAAAAAATGGTATCTACCTATTACCTTTTTTGTCCATAGTTCTAAGTTTCATATATATTCTGGAGGGATAGGTTCATGGAGATTCTGATGGGAATATTTATCACCCCCCCCCACACTTCAACCCCAAAAATTCCACCTATCCAAACACACAAATACTCTTCAAAAAGTACCATTCAATAGAATTAAAGGCACGAACATAAAATGACAACAGAATAACGAAGATTATCTATGTACAGAAAAGTCCATTTACAGTAGGTCATTTCACCACAAATCATTACCTTCTGTCCAATCAATCTCCTCTTCGTACTCCTCATCTTCATATTCTTCCATAGCTTCCAAGGGCTCTTCATCTTCAATTTCCTCTGGAAGCTTTTCCAGGAGCGCAGGAGAGGAAACGGAGGTGGATAGTTCCCCTTTAGTTTTGGAAACACCAGCAATAGCTTCCACCTTTCCCTTTTGAACACCCGCAGTAGCAGCAATAGACCTCTCTAAAATGGGGTTGCGAACAGGAGGTCCACTTGTGGAATTGCTGTTCTCATCTTCAAGTGAGAGGGGTGTCGAAGCGGTGGGGGAAGAAGGAGCTGTTGCTGAGGGACCTGCACCGATAATAGCGTCTAATGCAGCATAGTTGATCTTTTTGGAAACGCGATGTGTTTGGATCTCATCATCGTCGTCGTCACGGTCGTCATTCTTGCTTGCAGTGTGCCACGGCATACGGCGTTGATGATGGTATATCTTGCGTTGATTGCGACGTGGCTGAAAAGAGTGGCAAAAAATCTTTAAGATTTCGCGTAACTTAATAATAATGAGCTAGTTGCAAATCTCTTCAGATAAACGGTTTGGAGACTCCTTGGTACCCTAAATAATAAAGCCCATACAGTGGAACTACAACAAGCACTGCTGTTGAAATCATTGGTAATGTCCATTACTTACTCTTGAAGGCAACATGACAAAAATCGAAACGACACCAACATCGAAACTATACCAATTGAACAAGTTTCAAATATCGCGGGCTCATTCACATCCTGGAAAGTTGAATGTAATTCATTGGAATTGAACATTAAGAAGTAAATTGTGCTCCTTACTAGAACAGGTATGATTTAACGCCCCCATTATTAAGACAGAGACTCTTGATTCCTTTTTAGCATTGCCTACTGCTTATTGACCACTATCGGACTCTATTTGAATTTTTTGCTGGAAGGTCCCCTGAAGTTCCGAAATGCCATCAAGTTTCTGTCTCTTATAAAAAGCATGACGACTGGACAATCTAAATGAGCCGTGCTAATACTTGCTTTCAACTCTCTGGTCTTTCTACCACTCCGAGAGATCTATTGAATTGCTTACTATTCTGGGAGGTCTCCGAGACTTGTACACCTAATGTCTGTTGTCAAACCTCGAAATAATCAGATTTCACTAATTAATGCATGAATTTGGACAACAAGCATGACAGTGGCACGACTAAACAATAGCTATCAATAGAACACAGTTATGAGAAATGAATTAGAACTGCTTCCCGATTATTGCCTTTGTACTTGTATTAGGCGCCTTTAAAATCTCGCAAATGCAGAAAGGGAACTAAGGAGACAGTGTGCAGATCTAAATTAGAACGCCAATCAAACCACCAGTCAGGTGATAGAACTAACCAATAAGATCGAGAACGGCAATGAAGAGGAGTGAAAGTCCGTGAAAGAATGCCCTCTCGAGTACTTAACAGCAAATGACCAGGAAAGAGGAATAAGGCAAGCAACACCATAAATAAATTGCTGTTAAAGCCAATTAATCGAAGCGAAATGTCTTGAACAAATAGAGCATAGAGAGGCACTCCCCCCCCTCCCTTTGAATAGTATAAGTGAATGCACCTGAGTGCAGCTCAATGTGTCGATAGCAAAAACCTCCCAAGTGATAGATATGGAGATAGAGATGAAGCTCAATGAAAAATAAGAGAAAATAACCACAGAATGGCAAAAAGTAATCCTCTGAAATATCGGACGACTTTTAATCCAAGGGCCTGGTAGAAAATCTCCAATAGAAGAAGAAGAAGAAGAAGAAGAAGCATGGACTGAAACTAAATGAATCACCTGAAAGTACCCTTGAGGAAGCAATAACCCGTCAGGATGGAAAACAACACAAGCCGGTGGAAGTGAGCACAGCTTAAAAGAGGAAGTGTCGAGGTGTGGGTAATTTTTTAATGTGAGAAAATACTAAAAACTTCAGGCATGCATATTTTTGTGGCTCATAATTAATTTCATTTACTTTCTCACTATTCTGTCATTTTCCTCACTTCCTTTAACTTGGAGATTGAGATATCGCGCGCGTAGATTGTAGAAGGTGTCAAGAATGAAATTACTCACTTTGTACTCTAGATTCCATCATTAAATGGAAGGGCTAATTAGCTTCGAACTATGGGATAGTTGGCTTAGCTTGAGAAATTAAAACAAGGAGACACGAATTCACAGAACTAAACTAGCAAACAGTCAATTTTGGAAAAACCGCGATCATATAAGAGAAAATGCTCTAGCAATATCTTACTGCATCTAACCGCAAATTAAACTAATACCTTATTACCGAGAAACTAATAAAAGTTACTTGATTGAGAATGGTGCTAATAGTATCACACGGGCAGTTGTGTTCACCAAATGAATTCCAATTTTAAAGGCAAGTTTATGGAAGGACAAAAAGGGTTAGTGAATTACCTTTTTAGGTTTTCTTGCTTGTTCTTCTTTCAGTCGTTGACGTTCTGCTCTCTTACCTGTAAAAAGAG